TCTCTCTCTCTCTCTCTCTCTCTCTCTCTCTCTCTCTCTCTCTCTCTCTCTCTCTCTCTCTCGCTCGCTCGTGTGCGCGCACGCACATACTTCCTCCCCCTTGTGCGACCTCCTCGTCCTCCCTCATGGCCCCCTCCTCCCACTCGCATGAACTCCTCCCCCTAGCGTGACCTCCCCCTCCCACTGGTGCGACCTCCTCCTCCCCCTCCCGCACGACCTCCTGCAACCTTTCATCCCAGCGTGCAACCTGCTCCTACCCCTCCCATAACCTCCTCCTCCGCCGTGCAGAACCCACTCCTCCCCCTCCTCGAACCTCCTCCTCCCCCTGCACGACCTCCTCCTCCCCCTCACGGGACCTCCTCCCCGTCCTTGCGCAACCTGCCTTTCCCCCTTGCACATCGTTTTCTGACCTCCTCCTCCCCCTCACGCGACGTTCTCCCACCTCTCTTTTGACCTCCTCCAGCTCCTCCTCCTTGCACGACCTCCTCCTCACCTCTCATGTGTCCTCTTCCGACCTCCTCATCCACTTGCGCGACCTCCTTCCACCTCCCTTCCGACCTCCTGCAACCTCTCATCCTCCTCGTGCGACCTGCTCCTCTCCCTCGCACGACCTCCTCCTCCCCCTTGCACGACCCACTCCTCCCCCTCTTTCGACCTCCTCCTCTCCCTTGTGCGACCTCCTCTAGGCTCCTCCTCCTCTTGCGACCTCCTGCTCGTCCTTGCGTGACCCGTTCCTCCCCCTCACACATGGTCTTCCAACCTCCTCCTCCCCCTCGCGCGACCTCCTCCTACCCCTCGCCCCCCTTCTCCCCCTCGCGCGACTTCCTCCCCCTCTTCTGACCACTCCCTCGCTCGACTTCCTCCTCCCCCTCACACAACGTCCTCCTAATCCTTGTGCGACCTCCTCCCCCTCACGTGTCCTCCACCACCTCCTCATCCCCCTCGCACGACCTCCTCCTCCTCCTTGTCGCAATGTCTGCTTCCCCCTCGCATGACCTCCTCCCACCTCTCTTCCGACCTCCTCCTCCTCCTTGCCGCAATGTCTGCTTCCCCCTCGCACAACCTCCTCCTCCTTGTCCGACCTCCTCATCCCCCTCGTGCGACCTCCTCATCCCCCTCGTTCCGACCTCCTCCTCCCCCTTGCGCAATGTCCTCCTCCCCCTGGCAACCTCCTCCCTACATCCTCTCCCCTCCTCCATGAATTCTCGTCGTCTTCCATGCTTATCGTCCTCCTCCTTTTCGTCCCTCTTTCTCCTTTCGTTCCATCCTCCTCCTCTTTCCTCCATTCTCATCGTCCCCTCGCTCCTCCTCTTTTTCATTGTTCCTCCTCGTCCTTGCTGCTCCTCATGCTGCCTCCTTTGTTTAGATCGGCCCAAACATGCTTCTCCCTCTTCATCCTCCCTCTTTCTCCCACCCTTGCTTTTGTGAGCGCACGCGTGCCACATGCCCCAAATGTCTTTCTCCCTCTTCCTCCTTCCTCCTCCATCGTTGATCCTCCCTCGTCCATCACATCTTTCCATCGCCGCCCACGGACTGGTGGGAAACAGAACTGAATGGGGGGGCTGAAAGAAAAACCGTGGCAGCGGGCAACGGGACTTCGTGTCCTCCCGACACTGCAGAGCGGGGCGTGTCGCGTGGAACCGCCACACCGAATTTCCCTCACTCCCGCCTGCAGTCCCACCACGAAATGCCACAGCCAATTTACCTTGCCCCAGTCCCACCCGCCTCCACACCGAATTTCTCTGGGCCCTTTGCATTCTTTAAGAGTATATATATAGGGATAGTAAATATGCATTTACAGCATAATATAGTGTAATATAATAATTTATGTGCCAAGACTGCAAAGACAATGGCCTATTACCAGCTACTGCTAGGATTCAGCCTGCAATTCTTCGCTAGGCCGCGGCCTCCCACGGCCCAAGGGGCCCCCAGCAAGCAACGTGCCCACCCTAAGTGAAGGCGGGCCTGAATTCGTCATTGGGCCCCCAAATTCACCGTTTCTGCATTGTGGGCGCCAGACAGTTATCACTCGCCAGTCGGTTACCAAGGCCCTGCTCGTGAGCTTCAGAAACTTCGATGGAGCTTCCAGGCTCCTGGAAGCTTCGGCATGAAGAAAGGCCTCTCGGCCTATCAGAAACCAGGGAACACATCACAGGCCGCACGGGTGGTTGGGCGCATCTCGAAGCTGCGGGCCTAGGCAACTGTCTAAATGGGTCTGGGCGCAGACACTTTGGGCCAACTTGAAGCTACTGGGCACTCGCACGTCAGGCCCAAGCAGCCAGATGCAGGGCTGCACTTTCCATATAGGAGACAGGAGATCTTCTGGCCTGTGTAGGCATTGCGGCCACGCTGCTGCGTTGCCGCATGAGCAGCTGCGCTGGCGCTGCTGGCCAGAGTGCGCGCGACTGACCATCATAACTGGCATTCAACGCAGTTGTCCCCTGCATTACCTCACTTCCCATACGGAGTTCCCGAGTTCCCAAACTGAGAAATTACACCACTTGTGTAGAACTTCATAATCATTGATTAACTGGGAGATTGGCGCTGCAGTTGAGCAATCAGCCAGAACCAACATTCATTCTATTGGACACATGAATATCACCATGTGACTGGATATACATGTCAGATACATACGCATGGCTGAGGAGAGAGGGCGGAAAATTTGTTATCTTCGTTTCTCTGGGGAGCGGATCCAACGTCTGCTAGGATGTGGCCAAATAATAAGGTCCCCCTCCAAAGCTGACTTCAACATTAGATAACGCCACTGACCGTGCAATTCCGTTGCAAAACGTCAGGTGCTGTCCGCAGCATATCCATTTGTCTAGTAGACAGAGGCCAATCATTCCGTCATCATTTGGACATGCACAAGCATCTGAGAGGAAAACGGTTTCTGGAGCTCCCCAGACCCCAAATGAAGCAATGACAACAGATCTAGCAGCTGGCCAAAGGTTGAGCTCATTTACTAAAGCTCATTGCAGGAGGGCTCATGATATGTTCCCTGCAACCTCTTGATACCAAGTCAAAGGACAGCATGCAATAAGGTAGCAATCAGAATGCAGATAATACTCTTCCCCAGACATTATAATCTGATTCATAATTCAATACCATTCCCATCACAAGCCCCAAATGATAACTAAGTGACACCGTCCCTATCAAGATTGGAGAAACAGAACAAGAAACAAGAATGAATCATAGCCCTCCAACACACCACGTGGTTTTCTAGCACCAACTTCAGGAGAAAAAGGCAAGCATTAGAGTCACTGTTATTCTTGCCCTGGAACAGATGAGTGAAATGAGTACAACCGGAATGAAATGGAAACAAAAGTAGATGGAGAAGATGAAAAGGTGAAAATGAAGCGGAAATGAATAAGAATAAAATGAATGACAAAAGAAAGATTAAAGAATGAAATGACATGACACGGAGTGCATACAACCAACATAGACGACTACAAGACTTCACTAGGAAAATGACCAACACTCAAACACAAGCCAATGATATAGAGCTGAAAATTTTGATATACAGTCCTTCGAAAATAATCACACATTCTGAACACAGCCATTAAACAAAATGTAACATATTCAAAGAGCTCGCAGCACAGCGAGAAAGCAAGAATGGTCACAAAAAGATGCACCATCATAACCGAGATGAATGTACAAGAAAGATGTGCATATATCCGTTGAATGGGCCGCGGGGAAGGCTGGGAAGAAGACGAACAGGCTGCTCTCCTCTTGTGCATCAAGAGGGCAGCTCCATCTCACGGTTCAGTTAACAGTCTACTCAAAAAGCTCCATACTCTCATTGATCTCTAATGCCGATGCACCGAACTACTCAGCCATAACTTTCCACCCCATCTCTTCCCTTTGTCCTACCCCACTTTCTGCCTCCACCCACCCACCTACTACTATGATTTGTTTCCAAATTCAGTAACCACCACACTTGGGCAGTCCACCTGCCCCTCTGCAAGTCTTCCAGGATCTCAACAAGGATCCTATGTCTAAGCAGCCGCCAGCAACGACGGTTGCCATCCCACCCACATACATTTGTACACTCTTGAGAAGATACAACACGTCCTCCATAGAGACAGATACACTTCAGACAAAACAAGAAAACACAAGTGCAGCATTCCACACTTGCCCTGATGAGGCACTCGTTCTAGGCTGCCTACCTCCTGTCTCTATCCTTGCTGAGGTCGCACGATCTTGTGCAGATGTGCCCAACCTCGTCTTTGCGACTGCAATAGAGCGACAGGAGGAAGTTAAGCAGAGGGGACGGAGGAAGTGGGGATGAACAGAGAGTGACAGAGAAAGTGGAAGAAATTTAGGTGCATCCTTCAGTTGTCTTTGCCTCCATGTCCTCTGCCTGCATTCATGCACTGCACTTCTGTCCAAAATTAGCCAGCCAGGCAGCCAACCATCTCTCTGAGACTTATCCAAACAACCATCCCATTTCGCATATCGTCGTATCCCATCATCGTACGTAATAATTTCCTACATTCTCTCATGATTCATGCCAGCCGTCCGATCATAAGGCCCTCAGACTGGGTTTCAATCCCTCACCCTTCATTAGAGATGCAAGATCTCTTGTCCCTGTCTTTTGGGCTTGCGTCACGCTACCACTGTTGAATGCCAAACCAATTGCCCCACCATCCTCCATGAATGTCAACTGCACAAGCCAAATAAACATGGGACGCCAATACCCGAAATGATCAGTTCTGTGCTGGAACAAACGGGCAAATCAGGGTAGAAGTTCAGTGGCAAACTTGTCTTCAGTTAGGAGATTTCTAAGGAGCGAACAGTGCTGAGCTACCAGCGACAAGAACAAAATCATGTCCAGCAATAATGTTTGCTTCCTGAACAAAGGGAACAGAGCAACACTCAGCGACTGGCTCGTGAACAATTTGCAGCCAGTGAGCCTCTCTCAGGCAATAAATCCCACCAGGGCACTCGAAACCAAAACTGCTAAACCAAAGGCCTTAGGATCAACAAACCCACTCCATGAAGATACTGAAGTAAACCTACAACCTCTGAACTGGCAACCTTGGAGATCACAAGACAGTTATTTAATTATTCAAGCAGACAGGGTTGCATACCTGCAGCAGACCGGTAGGGCCAACCAGTCGGCGGTCGGCCGACCAGTCAGAAAACAGGCATCCACTGATTTTTTTCAAATCTGAGTTGGGGGCTGTACTGCACTTGCTGAGTAAAGCCCAAAT